CAGAGACAGAGACCAGGTGGTGGGGGAGAGGATGGCAGAAGGGTAGAGGACCAGGCCAAGCTGACATTTGCTCTGCACTTGGGCCCCAGAACTGGGAGTTTGGAGACAGTCCCTAGGATCTATTCACCTGGAAGATAATGGTTTTGAAGAGATCTGTGGACTTGCCTTATGATGAGCCACGCCTTAACCCTACAGGAGCCTCCATATTCTCTTTAGCCAGAGGTTCCCTCCAGCAGGTGGGGTAGGGCAGAGCGGCTGCTCTGGCATGACCATGTGGGCAGTGGATGTCGACGAGGTAGAGTAGGAATGGAAGAACAGGAGAGGGCTATCAGAATATGGGAAAACTGTCAGGCTCTTCCACAAATAAGAGGAGGAAACCTTCAAAGGATTGAGGTTCTGTAACACACAGGTGGGCACAGACATCTGTGACAGTGAGTTTTTACTGCTTGTGCTCAGTGGCTCAGTCATGTCTGACTCTTTGCAACCCCATGAACTGCAGTCCACCAGACTCCTCTGTCCATGGGATTCTCCAGGCAAGAATACTGGAGTGAGTTGCCATGCCCTCCTCCAGGGGATCTTCCAACTCAAGGATCAAACCTGAGTCTCCTGCATTGGCAGGCAGATTCTTTACCACTGCCACCTGGGAAGCCCTTTTACTGCTTGTGGAACCTTATGTTTACCCATGGGCCAGCAGGGCCTGGAGAAACTTGAACGGCCATCTTACAGCAGACAAAATCATCTTATAGCCCAGCTCCACATAGATGGTGAGTGAATCTTGAAACATTTCTGCTTATAAATTTGAGGTGGGGAGAGGAACAGGGACTGGGCTCTGGCAGGTTATGATCAGTTCAGTTCAGCTCAGTTCAGTTGCTCAGTCGTAGCTGACCCTTTCTGACCCCATGGACTGCAGCACACCAGGCCTCCCTGTCCATCACCAACTCCCGGAGTTTACTCAAACTCAAGTCCACTGAGTCGGTGATGCCATCCAATCACCTCATCCTCTATCGTCCCCTTCTCCTCCTGCCTTCATTCTTTCCCAGCATCAGGGTCTTTTCTAATGAGTCAGTTCTTCGCATCAGGTGGCCAAAGTATTGGAGTTTCAGCTTTAGCATCAGTCCTTCCAATGAATATTCAGGACTGATTTCCTTTAAGATGGATTGGTTGGATCTCCTTGCAGTCCAAGGGACCCTCAAGAGTCTTCTCCAACACCACAGTTCAAAAGCATCAATTTTGCGGCGCTCAGCTTTCTTTATAGTCCAACTCTCACATCCATACATGACTACTGGAAAAACCATAGCTTTCATTAGACAGACCTTTGTTGGCAAAGTAATGTCTCTGCTTTTTAATATGCTGGCTAGGTTGCTCATAACTTTCCTTCCAAGGAGTAAGTGTCTTTTAATTTCATGGCTCCAGTCACCATCTGCAGTGATTTTGGAGCCCCCCAAAATAAACTCTGTCACTGTTCCCCCATCTATTTGCCATGAAGTGATGGGACCAGATGCCATGATCTTAGTTTTCTGAATGTTGAGTTTTAGGCCAACTTTTTCACCCTCCTTTCACCTTGTTTCACTTTCATCAAGAGGCTCTTTAGTTCTTCTTCGCTTTCTGCCAAAAGGGTGGTGTCATCTGCATGTCTGAGGTTATTGATATTTCTCCCTGCAAACTTGATTCCAGCTTGTGCTTCATCCAGCCCAGCATTTCTCATGATGTACTCTGCATAGAGGTTAAATAAGCAGGGTGACAATACACAGCCTTCACGTACTCCTTTTGAGATTTGGAATCAGTCTGTTGTTCCATGTCCAGTTCTAACTGTTGCCTCCTGACCTGCATACAGATTTCTCAACAAGCAGGTCAGTTGGTCTGGTATTCCCATCTCTTTCAGAATTTTCCACAGTTTGTTGTGCTCCACACAGTCAAAGGCTTTGGCATAGTCAATAAAGCAGAAGTAGATATTTTCCCGAAACTCCTGCTTTTTTGATGATCCAGCAGATGTTGGCAATTTGACCTCTGGTTCTTCTGCCTTTTCTAAAACCAGCTTGAACATCTGGAAGTTCATGATTCAAGTACTATTGAAGCCTGACTTGGAGAATTTTGAGCATTACTTTACTAGCTTGTGAGATGAGTGCAATTGTGCAGTAGTTTGAGCATTCTTTGGCATTCCCTTTCTTTGGGACTGGAATGAGAACTGACCTTTTCCAGTCCTGTGGCCACTGATGAGTTTTCCAAATTTGCTGTCATACTGAGTGCAACACTTTCACAGCATCGTCTTTTAGGGTTTAAAATAGCTCAACTGGAATTCCATCACCTCCACTAGCTTTGTTCATAGTGATGCTTCCTAAGGCCCACTTGACTTCGCATTCCAGGATGTCTGGCTCTAGGTTGGTGATCATACCATTGTGATTATCTGGGTCATGAAGATCTTTTTTGCATGATTCTTCTGTGTATTTTTGCCACCTCTTCTTAATATCTTCTGCTTCTGTTAGGTCCATACTGCTTCTGTACTTTATTGAGTCCATCTTTGCATGAAATGTTCCCTTGTTATCTCTAATTTTCTTGAAGAGATCTCTAGTCTTTCCCATTCTATTGCTTTCCTCTATTTCTTTGCACTGATCACTGAGAAAGGCTTTCTTATCCCGCCTTTCTATTTTTGGAACTCTGCATTCAAATGGGTATATCTTTCCTTTTCTCCTTTGCTTTTCTTTTTTTTTTTCCATTTATTTTTATTAGTTGGAGGCTAATTACTTTACAACATTGCAGTGGTTTTTGTCATACATTCCTTTGCTTTTCACTTCTCTTCTTTTCACAGTTATTTGTAAGGCTTCCTCAGACAGCCATTTTGATTTTTTGCATTCGTGGTTAGAATCAAACCCAGAGACTCTCAGAGGGCTCAAACAAACCTTGTGCACACTAGGACCCAGAGACCCCACAGAGACTGAGACAGAACTATGTTTGAGCATCTCCTGTGGAGGTAGGGGTCAGCAGTGAACTGCCATAGGGGCAGGGGCTCTGAGTACAGCAGACTTGGGTATGGCTGGGTGCAGCAGACTTGGGTATGACATAAGCCCTCTTGGAGGAGGTCACCATTAATCCCACCATAGAGCTGCCAGAATTTACACAGGACTGGGAAATAGATTCTTGGAGGACATAAACAGAAACTTGTGTGCACCAGGACCCAGGAAAAAAGAGCAGTGACCCCACGAGAGACTGACCCAGACTTGTCTGGGGGTGTCCAGGAGTCTCCAGCAGAGGTGTGGGTTGGTGGTAGCCTGCTGGTGGGGGCACTGAGTGTAGCAGTACATGTATGGGATCTTCTAAAGGAGGTCACCATTATCTTCATTACCTCCACCATAGTTTGGCCCCAGGTAAATAACAGGGAGGGAAAACAGCTCCACCCATCAACAGAAAATTGGATTAAAGATTTAATGAGTATGGCCCTGCCCTTTGGAACAAGACCCAGTTTCCCCCTCAGTCAGTCTCTCCCATCAGGAAGTTTCCATAAGTCTCTTAGCCTTCTCCATCAGAGGGCAGACAGACTGAAAACCACAATCACAGAAAACTAACCAACCTGATCAAATGGACCACAGCCTTGTCTAACTCAATGAAATTATGAGCCATGCCGTGTAGGGCCATTCAAAACAGATGGGTCATGGTGGAGAGTTCTGACAAAATGTGACCCACTGGAGAATAGAATGGCAAACCACATCAGTATTCTTGCCTTGAGAACCCCATGAACAGTATGAAAAAGCAAAAAGATAGGACACTGAAAGATGAACTCCCCAGGTCGGTAGGTACCCAATATGCTACTGGAGATCAGTGGAGAAATAACTCCAGAAAGAATGAAGAGACGGAGCCAAAGCAAAAACAACACCCAATTGTGGATGTGACTGGTGATAGAAGCAAAGTCCGATGCTGTAAAGAGCAATATTGCATAGGAACCTGGAATGTTAGGTCCATGAATCAAGGCAAATTGAAAGTGGTCAAACAGGAGATGGCAAGAGTGAACATAGACATTTTAGGAATCAGCGAACTAGAATGGACTGGAATGGGTGAATTTAACTCAGATGACCATTATATCTACTACTGTGGGCAAGAATCCCTTAGAAGAAATGGAGTAGCCCTCATAGTCAACAAAAGAGTTGGAAATGCAGTACTTGTATGCAGTCTCAAAAATGACAGAATGATCTCTGCTTGTTTCCAAGGCAAACCATTCAATATCATGGTAACCCAAGACTATGCCTGGACCAGTAATGCTGAAGAAGCTGAAGTTGAATGGTTCTATGAAGACCTACAAGACCTTCTAGAACACCCAAAAAAGATGTCCTTTTCATTATAGGGGACTGGAATGCAAAAGTGGGAAGTCAAGAAACACCTGGAGTAACAGGCAAATTTGGCCTTGGAATACAGAATGAAGCAGGCAAAGGCTAATAGAGTTTTGCCAAGAGAACGCACTGGTCATAGCAACACCCACTTCCAACAACACAAGAGAAGACTCTACACATGGACATCACCAGATGGTCTATACTGAAATCAGATTGATTATATTCTTTGCAGCCAAAGATGGAGAAGCTCTATACAGTCAGCAAAAATAAGACCGGGAGCTAACTGTGGCTCAGATCGTGAACTTCTTATTGCCAAATTCAGACTTAAATCGAAGAAAGTAGGGGAAACCACTAGACTATTGAGGTATGACCTAAATCAAATCCCTCATGATTATACAGGGTATGATCAGGCTTCATTTATTCCATTTATCTCTAGTGACATTAGCTTAAGGGACAGGAGTGGCAAAAGCCAAGGGGAAAAGAATGACTGGGGCAAGAAATGAAGCAGAGACTTGCAATCGTTCTGCATTATCATGGTGATTGGAAAATTAGTTTTCAATTTTAAGACATGTGCCTTCCCCTATATAGGTTCCAGACACAAATTGTGATTCTATATCATCAATTTCTTTTTCAGGAAAGTCAACAGCCCTTTCCCTGAGCTAAGAGCAACTCTGGCTGAACATGGAGATCCAAAAATCCACTCTGGCCTGGACTGGACTGGGCGTGAGCCAACAGGATCAGATAAGAGAGGAAAACTGGGTCCCCAGAGCCCCACTACTTAGAATTTTGGTTTCCCAACCAGTTGAACCCTCTTTCTCCCCTGCCCCCACCCCCAGGCCCGAGGCAACAGCACTGGTGATTGATGCATCCACAGGCAGCCCACAGAGCCAGATTCTTCTCTATATCACCATGGGGCTGCCAATTTGTCTGCTAATCTTTGTTTTTTCTGAGAATCATTTTCCTCTTCCTGGAATCAGATCCAATGTTTAGGGTAATGGAGCAGCAGACTTAAACCCTCAGAGAAGATTTGGTCTCTGTGCCTCTTTTCATCCCCACTGCCCTGACCTTAGATTGAGTCATCTGAAGAGTCAGTCACCTGTACTATTGCAGTGCTTGCTGCCGTGCTCAGGCACTCGGTCATGTCCAACTCTTTGCGACCCCATGGACTGTAGCCTGCCAGGCTCCTCTGTCCAAGTTAGTTTTCTAAAATGTGTTTCTAATCATGTCACTCCTACTGTTTTTAAAAGATCTTTGAGTAACCCAATTACATGGACTATTATTGAATAAATAAATTTGCTGTTAGTATCAAATTCCCCATTATCTTTATTTCCTGTCTTTATAGGCTTCACCACAATTTCAACCTATCTTACTTATGTGTTTTCTTACTTATCGTCTGTCCCCCTCTTCCATTGGAATGAAGTTTTCGTTTGATCAATGTTCTTATCTATCTGTCCCCAAAACAGTGGCTGACACATGTTAGATAATAAATATTGACTGAATGAAGGACTCAATAAATCAAATTCTGTTAGCCACAGTTAATTCTTTTTTTCGTAAATGAACTTTATTTACTTTAACGATTACAAATGTAATACATGCTTACTGTAGAGAATCTGGAAAGTAGAGAGAAGTAAAAAGAAGAACATTAAAACACCCATAAATCCCACCACATTAAGGCAAACACTGCTCACATTATGTTCTATCTATGCCTGTTTAAAGACCAAGATCTTTATCAAGAGTGCTGGCCACAAAGCACAATAGCCAAGGGGAGTGAGGGCAATTAACAACTGAGGAGGTCACCCAAAGGTCAGAGCTAGAAACTTCACACTGAGGGACAAGACAATGGCCACTGACAATAGATCAAGACTTCAGAAGTTGACAATAGAAGAACAAGTTGGGTTATGGTAAGAATGTAGTGAGATGATGCTTGTCAAGAGTTTAGCCCACTACCTGTCACACAGTACATAAACAATAAACATTAGCTATTACTAAGATTGTTACCATGGGTCAAAATGAATGGTTCGGGATGGAGACTATAAACAGGACAAGGGCCTTGGAGACCAAATTTAAGTGCTATGAGTTGGGGCATATAGGGACAAGTATACTGGATGAAAAGGATGGTATTGGAGTGGGCATCACTCTCCTTATGGGCTCCCCTGCCAGGTGAAATGGGACCAGGGCTTCCTCAAGTTTGCCTGATGACATGTGGCAAGACACTCTAAGGTGTTTTTGAGGTAGGACATAGTTTCTCCTGCCTAGACTTCTCCCTGGACCAGGAACTAGCACTGTCCTTGTTGGTAATGGGAGTTCAGAACCTCATACAACGAACATTCTTGAAGTCCACGTTCTGATTGCTGGGGCAGGTCAAAGGCATGTGGGGTGAAAGAGAAGGTCAAGTCAACCAAGTGGGGGATAGGGTGGGATGCACCTGGAGGGGGTGCTGAAGGGGAAAAGGCCACAAGTTTTAATGATGTAATTACATGGAATGAGTCTAGGAACCAGTCCTCAAGTTAGCAGCCAAGTTGGATATCACAGGAGAAGAATCCAGGTAGCATTACTTGTTAGTGGGGGCCTTCTGATGGCCTGTGCTCTTTCGAAGGTGGTCGTGCAGACCCTCTTGAGGGTCTTCATGCTCTTTCAGGTAATAACAGCGTTTGGGAACATGCTGGTGCTGGGAGTGAGAAAAAAAAACAAAAACAGCAAATGTAAGAGCCATGCTTACTATGACAAGTGGGGTTCTACCTGGATAATCTCAATCACTTAGCATGTAAAGAAACTTGGTCAATGTACCTTATTTGTATAAAAAGTGTGACCAAGGACTAGACTGGCCAAATTTCCTAGTGACCTGGGTCTACAACACATGTGGTTGTAGGTGGGACCCAGCCTCCAAAACATGACCCCTCTTTTAGAACTGGACTTGGAATCAGCAGTAGCGAGTTGGGACTGAGCCCAACCAGTTCCCTCAGAAGATAAATCTTCTTTAACCACCCCCATGCCCTAAGTATCTTGGGTAGGGCAAGGCTCCACAAAGTTAATGGAGTTTGGGTTAATATGCACAAAATAAGGGCCTAACCAGGCCCACTGACAAAATTCTAGGTTGGGGCTTACGGTCTAGGAGCTCAATGCTTCCCCCAGCCTCTTCCTTAGTCTACGCAAAGGAGCAGGTGCCTTCAATTTTCTATTCAGAAACCTTGAGTGTATTTCCCCATCATTACCTCCTCAGTCTGCTGCTGGGGGTTCAGTTCATTCTCCATTGCCTCCTCGCTATTCCGCTTACAGGGTGATGTCAGAACCTGGCTGGAGCTGCCTCGGGAATTCTTCTCTCCCGCCAGCTGGCACTCGGTATAGAGAGACCTATCTATCAGCTCCTTTAGGCTGCCAGCCACCTTCAGGAAGATCCGGCCCATTTTGGTGGCAACAGCTTCAGAGAGTCCTTCCAGGAACCTGGTCCGCAGAATGGCATCAGACCAAGACAAATGTCGGGCCAGCAGAAGGAAGTCAGTGGCATACTGCCTGACCGACTTCTGGCCCTGCTTGGGATGGCAGAGAACTGCACTGAGGATGTCAATTTCAGACAGGGAGTCATATAAGCCCTGGGATCTTCTCAGGAAAGATTTATCTTCACTGGTGAGGGGGTTTCCTACCTCCATCTGCAAGATGGACCATCTCTCTGCTGCCCCCAGATGAAGAGACACCAGAAAGGCCATTTTCTCTGAATCATTCAAAAATCCCTTCATTTGCTTCTCCTCATCAATCTCCACCTCCTCTTCCACAGGGCATGAACCCCGGGCTGCTTCCTGTTCTTCTAAGAGGTAACAGAGTGCTGGGGTCAGCATGCCAAAAGATGGGACTTCGTCTGGTGGTGGCTTTACTGTTTTGTGGGGGGTGGTCGTCGCATGTGGTGTGGACTTTGATCCAGAGGCTGTGACACTGATGCGAGCGGCAGATGTTTCCCCAGAGTCTGTGGCTTTGACTCCCAGGGTGGACATCATTCCAGGGGCTGCGGCTGCCATCTGGGATGCGGACATGGCTCCTGGGACTGTGGCCCTCATTAGTGGCATGGACATCCCCCCAGAGGATATGGGTCTCAGAAGTGGCATGGACATCATTCCAGAAGCTGAGGCTCTCATAAGTGGTGTGGATGTGGCTCCGGAAGCCGAGACTCTCATCGGCGGTGTGGACATCTTTCCTGAGGCTGTGTATGTCGTTTGTGGCAAGGATGTAGATCCAGAACTCACAACTCTTGTTTGCAGTGTGGACATTGCCCCAGATGACAGGCTTTTCATTAGTGGCTTGGATGTCTCTCCAGAAGCCATGGCAGACATCAGTGGCATGGGTGTTACTCCAGAGGCCACGGCTCTCATGAATGGCTTGGACATCCCTCCTGAGGCCATGGCTGTGGTTTGTGCGGTGGCCATCTTTCCAGAGGTTGGAGCTCTCATGAACTCTGTGGACACATCTTCAGAGACTGAGGGTCTCCTTGGGGGTGTGCACATAATTCCAGAGACTGGAGCCCTTAATAATGGCGGGGACATCACTCCCAAGCTGGGGGCTCGCATGGTTAGTGTGCACACCTCTGCAGATGCTGCTGTGGGCATCTGCGGTGCAGATGTTGCTCCAGAGGTTGGGGCCCTCAACAGTGGCATGGACACCCCTCCAGAGGCCACGGCTGTCATCTGAGGCATGGACATCACTCCAGAGGCCGTGGATCTCATGAGTGGTGTGGGTATTGGTCCAGAGATTGGAGCCCTCATTTGTGGCATGGACATCATGCCAGAGGCTGTGACTGTTCTTTGCAGAGGAGACATCGCTCCATAAGCTGGGGCTCTCAGAGGGGTGGTGGCTGTCTCCCCAGAAGTTGGGGGTCTCGTTAGTGCTGAGGACATCTCTCCAGAGGATGAAGCTCTTGTGAGAAGTGTGGACACCTCTCCAGGGTTTGAGGCTCTTATCAGGGGTGTGGATACTGCCCCAAACCTCGGGGCTCTAATTTTTGGTGTGGACATCACTTCAGAGGCTGGGGCTCGCATCTGCAACGTGGACATCCCTCCAGAGGTCATGAACCTTTTGAATGACATGGACATCCCCCCAAAGTCTTGAGTGCCTATTGGCTGACTGGGCATCTTTCCAGAGACTGTGGATCTCATTAGCACTGTGGGCATGGCTCCAGGGCCCGGGGCTCTCATTAGGGGCATGGACATGCTTCCAGAGGCTGCGGCTGTCATTTGTGGTGTGGACACGTCTCCAGAGGCTGGGGCTCTCATTAGTGGTGTGGACATCCTGGCAGACGCAGCATCTGTCATCTGTGGCATGGACATGGCTCCAGAAGCTATGTCTCTCATTAGCATTGTGGAGATCTCTCCAGAAGCTGCGGTTGTCATTTGCTGCATGAACATTGCTTCTGAGGCTTTGGATGTTGTTAGTGGCTTGGACAATGCTCCTGAGGCTGTAGCTTTCATCGGTGGCACGAACATCACTCCTGGGGCTGTGTCTCTCGTTAATAGTGAGGACATGGATCCAGAGGCTTTGGCTGTCATCTGTGGGGTGGACATGGCTTCAGAAGCTCTCATTTGTGGTCCGGCTGTCACTCTCGAGGCTGTGGCTCTCCTTTGTGACCTAGATGTTGCTCCAGAGACAGGCGCTCTTATTCGCAGTGTGGACACTGACCCAGAGGCTGGGGTGGTCATTTGTAGCATAGATACTGTTTCAGAGATGGGGGCTGTGCTGGATGGGATGGACATTGCCCCCGAGGCTGGAGCTCTCATTCGTGGTGTGGTCTTTGCCCCACTGGCTGGGGCTTTCATAAAGCCTGTGGATGTGGCTCCAGAAGTTTGAGTCGTTGTTAAGTGTGTGGACATTCCTCTAGAGGCTGCGGTTGGCACTGGCTCTGCGGACATTGCTCCAGAGGTTGTGGCCGTCATCAGTCGGGTGGACAGTGCTGCAGAGTCCGGGACTGTCTTTAGCAGCGTGGACATATTGCCAGAGGCTGGGGTTCT